CCTGGGTTCAGGCAATTCTCCTGCCTCAGCCTCCTGAGTAGCTGGGATTACAGGCACGCGCCACCATGCCCAGCTAATTTTTTGTATTTTTAGTAGAGACGGGGTTTCACTGTGTTGACCAGGATGGTCTCGATCTCTTGACCTTGTGATCCACCCGCCTCGGCCTCCCAAAGTGCTGGGATTACAGGCTTGAGCCACCGCGCCCGGCCCTTTTTCTGATTTCTTAAAATGAAATCTGAGATCACTGATTTGAAGCCTTTTTCATTTATAAGTAAAACCTTAGCTACATTCCACAAATTTCGACTTGTGTTTTCATTTTAATTTTTAATTAGTCAAAACATTTTCTAATTTTCTTGTGATTTTTTTTTCCTTTGGTCCATGAGTAATATACAGGTATGTGGTTTAATTTTTAAAAACTTAAGATATTTTCTAAGTATCTTTTTATTATTGATTTCTAATTGTACTGTGGTTGTCTGAAAAATATTTTTAGTTCATCTCTCTCTCTCTCTCTCTCTCTCTCTCTCTGTCTCTAAGAGTCAGGTCTTCTCTGTCACCCAGGTTGGAGTACAGTATCATGATGGCAGCCTACTGCATGCAGTCTTTAACTCCCGGGCTCAAGCAATCCTTCCACCTTAGCCTCCTGAGTAGCTGGGACTACAGGTGCTTGCCAGTACAACTGGCTAATTTTAAAAATTTTTATAAAGATGGGATCTTGCTATGTTGCCCAGGCTAGTCTCAAACTTCTTGTCTCAAGTGATCCTTCTGCCTTGGCCTCCTAAAGTGCTGAGATTACAGATGCGAGCACTACACCTGCCTCATCTTTGTTTTTGGAATATATTTTCATTGGCATAAAATTCTAGTTTGACAGTTTTTGAGTTTTTTTTGAGACAGAGTCTTACTCTGTCACCCAGGCAGGAGTGCAGTGGTGCAATCTTGGCTCACCAAACCTCTGCCTCCCAAGTTCAAGTGATTCTTGTGCTTTAGCCTCCTGAGTAGCTGGGACTACAGGGTGCAATACCATGCCCAGCTAATTTTTGTATTGTTAGTAGAGATGGGGTTTTACCATGTTGGCCAAGCTGGTCTCGAACTCCTGACCTCAGGTGATCCAGGCGCCTGGGCCTCCCACAGTGCTGGGATTACACACATGAACCACCATGCCTGGCCTGATAATTTTTTTGTCAAGTACTTTAAGGGATTTTTTTTTCCCGACTGTTTTCTGGCTTATATTGTTTCTAATGAGAAATCTGTTCTCATACTTGTTTTTTGTCTTTTGTCTGTCCTTTGTCTATAATGCATCTTTTTCACTCTGATTGCTTTTAAGTAAGATTTTCTCTTCTATTATTGGTTTTAAGCATTTTGGTTATGATATGCCTTGGGGGTATAGTTTTCTTCATGTTTATTATGCTTGTGGTTCATTGAGTTCCTTGTATCTGAAGTTCTCCTCCTTATCCAGCTTGGAATCTGACACTCCATGCAGGCTACCACGACTCCTGATTTGGCACTCCTCACATGAATGCTCAGTATCAAATTTTTTTATTTTTGCCAATAAGATCAGTAAAAAATGTTATCTCAGGGTAATTTTAATTTGTATTTCTAATGTGATACCAGGCAATTTTGTTGTCTAAAAGTCATTTGTATTTCCTTTTCTGTGAACTGTCTGATCATATTCTTTGTTCTACTTTTGTATTTGTTTGCTGATCATTTTTATATTGTAACTTTTATCTTTTCTGTAATGAGCATGTATTTTTGGGGGAACATTAAGAAGATACCACATAAAGTTATTTTTAATTTAAAAAGCCTTCAAAATCCTTGTAGTTTCCTGGTCCAAAATACTCAGGAGCTCATGGTGGCTAGTATTTTATCATAGCTCCTTCTTACATAAGGGCTTACTTTGTGGTGAAACCTGCATAGCTAACAGGATGCATGAGCTTAAAGGCCTAGAGTCACTTTGGACTGCCTATCTTTTACCCGGGCACTGAAAAAGAATCACAAATTCTTGTATTTGTAAGGAGTTGAGCTCTATCTTAGTCATCACTTCATTAGATCTTTCAGTGGCCCTGGGAGGCTGACAGGCCATTGACAATGATCCCCATTTTACAGATTTGAAGCTGAGGTTTAGAAAGGTGAAGTGACTTTATCAAACAGAAGGTTACATTTAGAAGTAACTTAAAGATCATTTAATTTTACATATTCAGGATCCTACAATTAGTAACTAGGGTAAAGTTTTGGCATGGATCCAGGTGCTCTAACGGCAGCAATCAAAGTGAGGATCACTATTGCTCTAAATGGTCAAGGAGCTTCTCTTCCTCAGAAGACTCCAGGTCAAGCCTTTGACAGGCCATGGTTGGGCAGGCAGAGGGGTGATGCTGGAATTTAAGGTCTATCTATGCTCACCTTTGGCAGCAGTCAGCATGGTGGAGGCCAGTTCACACTGCTGTGATTCCAAGTGTCCAAGCGTGAACCAGCGAGGATAACGGCTGGGCACCACAGACACCATATGGTGAGGGTGGGATGTGTCGCCTGCAGAAGCTGAGTTTTCTAAAACAGGTAACCTGGAAGACCCAGGAAGAATCATCAGCCACCATCCAGACCCTGGGCTTCTGAGCCACCTTAGAGAAGCTTACTTTTTGCTGGGGAGCAACTGGGGAAAGGAAAGGATTAGCTAAGAGCATTGAAGGTTTTAAACCTACGGTACCATACACTGTATGAGGTGAGTGCCTGGGTATTTAAGAGAACTCAAGCTGAATAGTCTCCACTACAAATGGATTTGAAAGGCAGTTCAAGAGCTATCACGCTGAGTAGTATATATTATAAAAAGAGAGAAAAGTTAATAAATTTTAAAAAAGAATCATAGGATTATTTTATTTATTTTTGAGACAGAGTCTCTCTCTGTCACACGGCCTGGAGTGTAGTAGCACAATCACAGCTCACTGCAGCCCTGACTTCCTGGGCTCAAGCAATCCTCCCACCTTAGCCTCTTGAGTAGCTGGGACTCCAGGTTTGCATTACCATGCCTGACTAATTTTTGTAGTTTTTGTTTTTGTAGAGATGGGGTTTCACCATGGTGCCCAGGCTGGTCTCAAATTCCTGGGCTCAAGTAGTCTACCCGCCTTGGCCTCTGAAAGTGCTAGGATTACAGGCATGAGCACTGCACCCAGCCTGGTTATTTCCAAAAGTATAAGAAATACATGCCAAAGAATTCCTTGTTTTAGCTAAGGTATTCTCCCAGCCTTAGAGTCTGACTAAAATTCTTCCTCTGTATAGTCTGCCATATCTCAGAGGTTTAACTGCCTAAACCAAGGATCCTATATTAGCTTGGAAACAAGATGCCCACAGCTCCTGTTCTCAAGTCTTGGGGTAAATATATTTATCTCTACTGCCCCCAGCTTCTTCTGGGGACCTGTGCCTGGGAACCTTGATTCAGCTGAAGAGGCTCAGACCCCTTCTCAGCTTGCCAGACTGACAACTGAACAGGAAGATTCAGGTCTTAAGTGCTCTTTATTTATTAACATCTCAGAAGCTTACTCAATCAACCATGAGTACTGCCAGGGAACCAAGTTACCAACAAGGAATCCAGATACGAATCCTAGATCATATAAAAATATCTGAGCCATTTAAAAGTACCCTTGGTAGCAGGTCCAACAGAATGACAAAGAGGGAAAGAGAAGAAAGTAAAATAAGCAAAGAAAAAGAGCATTGGATCCCTCTGCTTTGGTGGAGGCAACTGGACTGGGAAAGGGCTACCCACCTCATGGCACGTAAGGCTAATTTATAGGACAGGTCTGGGTCATGAGGCAGCAGAGCTGAGAACAAATACTTGGCAAAGGTATGCATGGGAACACTCTCTCGGTGGATGACTTCTCCCAGACCGCTGAAAGGGCCCCCTGGAGGAAGATAAGCCAGCCAGTTATTTATTTGTATGCTTCTATCTGCCAGCCTGGACTTGAGCCCCAAGATCTCATGCACGTTTGCTAACCATGGGAAACTTCATTACATTTTAATGTTATAAATGTTCCTGTATTTATACTATTTTGGAGAAGGGAGCTCAGGGGCACAGGCCAAAGACACTAAAAAGAGACTCTTTTCTACTTACCTTCCAGCAGTAAGATGCACTGTTTTTGCAATGTTTGCACTAGCTCATCGTCCAGCTGCAGCTCTTGAAGTTGGCTCAGGAGCTGCTCCTCATTACGGCACACCTTGTCCTGTGCATAGAGGCCTTCAGGCATTACCCTCTGTTGACCCAGGCCCATCAATGCAACTTCCAGGGCCAATGACAGGTAGGACTCACTGCTGTTTGGGGAGCCTGCAGCCACAGGTACATGCTGGTACACAGGGGGTCTGCTTTCATTCATATCTGGGGGCAACAGGGCACCAAATTCTTTAGGTCAGGCTTGGTAGAGTCTTCCCTCTTTTTTTTTTTTCGAGACAGAGTCTTGCTCTGTCTTCCAGGCTGGAATGCAGTGGCGCGATCTTGGCTTACTCTGCCTCCCGGGTTCAAGCAAGTCTCCTGCTTCAGCCTCCTGAGTAGCTGGGGTTACAGGTGCGTGTCACCACATCTGTCTAATTTTTGTATTTTTAGTAGAGGTGGGGTTTCACCATGTTGGCCAGGCTGGACTCTAACTCCTCACCTCAGGTGATCTTCCTACTTCGGCCTCCCAAAGTGCTGGGATTACAGGTGTGAGTCACTGTGCCCTGCCTAGTCTTCTGTCTTTCCCTTCCACCTTTGGGGTATAGCTTGGTCAACAGTTATCACAGGGAAGCTGAATCAGAACCCCAGGACAGTAAGGAAAATATACTGAAAAAAAGGTTACACAGAGCCACAGATTCATACTTTCTTTTTTTATTTTTTTGGAGACAGAGTCTTGCTCTGTTGCCTAGGCTGAGTGAAGTGGTACAATCATGGCTCACTGATGCAGCCTCAACCTCTTGGGCTCAAGCAACCCTCCTTCCTCAGCCTCCGGAGTAGCTGGGACTACAGGCACATGCCACCATGCCCAAATAATTTTTTATTTTTTATTTTTGTAGAGATAGGGTCTCATTATGCTGCCCAGGCTGGTCTTGAACTCCTGGGCTCAAGTGATTCCCCCACCTTGGCCTCCCAAAATGCTGAGATTATAGGCATAAGCCACCATGCCCAGCCCCACCTACTCTTGAGATGGAGTCTCCCTCTGTCTCCCAGGTTGGAGTACAGTGGCACAATCTTGGCTCACTGCAACCTCTGCCTTCTGGGTTCAAGCACTTCTCCTGCCTCAGCATCCTGGGTAGCTGGGATTACAGGCACGCATAACCACATCCAGCTAATTTTTATATTTTTAGTAGAAATGGGGTTTTACCATTTTGGCCAGGCTGGTCTCTAACTCCTGAGCTCAGGTGATGTGCCTGCCTTGGCCTCCCAAAGTGCTGGGATTACAGGCCTGAGCCACCATGCCCGGCCCACCTCCTTCTTAATATATAAACTGGCTAAACCAGTTAGGGAAGTATAAAATCTTATCTTTTGCTAGCACATTATGTAATGCCACAATTGTCTATTTTTATGTCTGTCTCTTTCACAGAATGTGAGCACCTTAAAGGGATTAGACCATCTTGTTGTTCTAGGTATTGCTATGTGTTAGTGGTAAATGAATAAACCCAAGTATAAACTCAGGTTTCCAAGATGTAAATGTCACTGTACAGATGAAACAAACCAAAGATGATGATTCTCTTTGCAAGGGATCAGAGGCAAGATAAGGAGCAGCCCTCACTTGGCTTGGGGCCATCCCTTATACCTCTGCGCACAGAAATCTGAATCCACACAGTTAAACTCTTACTTTTGTAACATTTGCAACCTTTATGTTATTATTATCTCATATGCTCCAACACTGGGTGCACAATTTCAGGAAGTGAGCACGGTTTAAAAGTCGGAGTCTTGGGTTCTTTTCTTTTCTCCGTCATCCATCGAGTATTTATGGAAGATTATTAAATGTCAGGTCCTGCACTAAGTGCTAGGAACACAAAGATAAAGAAGTCATAATTTCTGCTTTCAAGTAGCTGACAGTCTAGTAAGAGAGACCTATTTGTACATAAATTGTAATGTAGTATGCTAAGTACTAAAGTAGATATATGTATACAGTAAGTGAAAGCATAAAATAAAAAAGAATCAATTTTGTCTCTTATCTATTCTTGGCTACTCTAATAGAGTCTTGAGGCTATTAAATGATTCCCCTCTATTTATTATTTGTAAAATTGGTACAAAACCATCATGTGGAAGGAAGTTCAAAGGAAATCAGAAAATATTATTATGCAATTGCATGGGATACACACATTCTTGATGGGAAGTTCTTTCTCACTTTTAGACAGCTCTAGGTTCTTGCCTCTGACTGCTGAAATTTCTCTAACCCTTGTTATTCTTCTTGGACTACATTCTTTAGGCATTTATGATAAGGAAATGAAAGGAGCAAGGAAGGCTGGCAAGGTAAAATGTGAAATCAGGACAAGGCCAGACCACAGGGTAGGAAAGGAAGGTGGGAAATGGGCAAGTATGAAGAAACCTCTCAGGGTGCTCTAGTTTGGACAAGACGGGGAAAGAAAACTTCAAAAGGAGGAAGGGAGGAATGGGCTGACAAGGGCAGTCTTTTTTTTTTTTTTTAAATGAAACAGGGTCTCACTTTGTTACCCAGATTGCAGCGTAGTGGCACAATCTCAGCTCACTGTAGCCTCGATCTCCTGGGCTCAAGTGATCCTACTGCCTCAGCTCCCCAAGTAGCTGGGACTACAGGCGAGTGCCACTATGCCCAGCTAATATTTTGTAGAGACAGGGTTTTGCCATGTTGCCCAGGCTGGTCTTGAATTCCTGAACTCAAGTAATCCACCCACCTTGGCCTCCCAAAATACTAGGATTACAGGTGTGAACCACCATTCTAGCCAACAAGGGCAGTCTTGGCTTGCTTCAGGCTGCCCCCGTACCTGACATCTCCAGATAGCCATCATCATTCAGGCGGCAGGCCTCAGTCAAAGTGAGAAACAGGCAGCCAATGGGATCCAGAGGGTGGCCCACCCAGCCCTCCAGGTTTGTGATGGTTGTGGTTCTTCTCTGCAATAGTTCTGAAAACAAGCAGGTTAAAATTTTAGAGAGTGATAGAGACACACTGCTGTCTGTCCCTGCCTGGGTCTTGTTATCAGTCTCTTTCCAGCCTTGACCCTGAGGTCAAATAAAAGCTTCTCTATTGTCTTGCCTTGGGTTGATAGGACTGGCCACAAACATACCAGCCAACTATAAGGTTGCGTGGTCCACATTTGGGTTGCCTGCTGGTAGTATATACGTGAATACAGCTTTACAGGTTTTTGTTTTAAGAGACACCTCAGTCTTCTGAATAGCTGGGACTACAGGCACATGCCACAATGCCCTGCTAATTTTGTTTACTTTTTAATTTTTTTTTTTTTTTTTGAGATGGAGTCTTGCTCTAGTGCCTAGGCTGGAGTGCAGTGGTGTGATCTTGGCTCATTGCAACCTCTACCTCCTGTGTTCAAATGATTCTCATGCCTCAGCCTCTAGAGTAGCTGGGACTACAGGCATGCGCCACCATGCCTGGCTAATTTTTGTATTTTTGGTAGCAATGGGGTTTTGCCATGTTGGCCAGGCTGGTCTTGAATTATTGGCCTCAAGTGATCCGCCCGCCTCAGCCTCGCAAATTGTTGGGATTACAGGGTGTGAGCCACTGTGCCTGGTGTATTTTATTTTATTTCTGTAAAGACAGGGTCTCATTATGGTTGCCCAGGCTGGTCTCAAACTCCTGGCCTCAAGCAATCCTCCTACCTTTGCCTCCAAAAGTGCTGGAATTGTAGGTGTGAGCCACCACACCTGTCCACAGCCTTACAGTTTAAAAAGGTTCTTCTCATACCAGATCTTAATGAGCCTTCCAACTGCCTTATGAGGGAGGCTGACAGGTATTATTCCCAAATTAACAGATGAGAAAACTGAGATTCATAGAGATAAAGTGAGGCATTCCACACAGCAGGGAGAATGACCTGGAATTCCCTAGCTCCTCTGGGCCTTGTATCCCCTAACGATTCTCATCAGCTTTGGGCCTAAAGGGGTTAGATGGCTCTTAATTACTATACCTTTCTTCTGATGCTTGTAGATTTCCAGTTGCTGCTGCTGCTGCAACCTCAAAGTATTAATAATGGCCACTGTGAGTCTGAGGGCCTCTTTTGGATAACCATGAGAACGTAGGGCATCAACCCGAGCACAGGCTGTAGGCACATGCTCTACCAAATAAGAAGAAAATATTTTGGTCAAGTTAAAATTTCAAATCAGGAAAATTTATGCCTGACAAAGAGGGTTTGTGTTCAGTCCAATTCCTCTAATTCCACCTGACACTTACTGTATACTAGGAACTGTCTTTATCTTTAAAGATATAAAAAGTTGAATAAATCACAGGTGATACCTTGAAAGAGCTACCTTGCAGCTTCAGTGTAGTGTATGGTGTAGAAAGGGATACACAAGTAGGATAATAAAATGTAGTTTCTCTTTGTGAACATATATTATACTATGCGAACTCACTGGAGGTAGCAACTAACTGCCTAATGGGAAAAGTCTCATTCATTTAATTAATCCTACATTTCCTGAAAATCTATTATATGCCAGAGAGTATGCTAGGCAAAAAAAGTACAAAGATGTTGGTGACAACCCATATTAGGATCTCATAAAAAAAAAAAAAGACATACAAAGATGAATAAGAAATGGTCATTGCCCTCAAAGAGCTCAAAAATGATACATAAACATAATTATAAAGCAGCTAAAAAGAAGCAACATGATAGAAATATATACAGAGAGGAAATAATATTTGAGCTGTGCTTTGAAGGACAAGTAAGATTTCAAATAGGTGGACAAACAGGAAAAGACATTCCTGACAAAGGAAACATAAGCAAGGGCATACAGTAAAAGCATAAAAATTATCTGATATGTTAATAGAATCCATCTTCAGAGTATTGCAAATAGTTCCATGTAGTTAGAATTACATTATGTGGCTTAAGACGGCCTGGAAAAGGTAGTCTGGAATGTAAAGAGCTTTGAATGCCATTCTGTGGAGTCTGAATTTACCTTAGGGTTAATGGAAGACTACCAAACCAAAGACTTACAAATAGGTGAGTAATTACAACAAGCTTTATGGTTTATTTTGTACTTTTTTAAAGATAAAATTAAAAATTATAGAAGTCATTGTGGAAAATTTGAAAATACATATAAAGAAATATAAACTGAAAATCAGAAATAACCACTTTCCAGTGTCATGTATATTTACTTGCACTTTTTTATTAAGTTTTTTTTTTTTTTTTTTTTATATACGGAGTTTTGATTCTGTTGCCTACACTGGAGTACAGTGGTGTGATCTCGGCTCACTGCAACCTCCACCTCCCTGGTTCAAGCAATTCTCCTGCCTCAGCCTCCTGAATAGCTGGGATTACAGATTTGTGCCAACACACCTGGATAATTTTTGCATTTTTAGTAGAGACAGGGTTTCACCATGTTGGCCAGGGTGGTTTCAAACTCCTGACCTCAGGTGATCCACCCACCTCAGCCTCTCTAACTGCTGGGATTACAGGCGTGAGCCACCGCACGCAGGCTATTAAGTTTTTACCAAAAATGGGATAGTATTATATTTACTGTTTTGTAACTGACCTTTCCACTTAATAACACATTATGAATATTTTTCCATGTTATCAACTATATATCTGTAACATTAAAAATGATTACATATCGTTCTGCTGAATACATGTATATCTATCGAGCTAATCAATCCTCTGTTGTTGGATATTTATATGGTTTTCAATTTTTCTCATCTGTACCTTATTTTTACCATGCTGTAATGAAACCCTTAGCTATATGCATTTCCTTAGTTAATTATGGCTCAGGATAAATTCCTAGATGTAGAATTCCTAGATCACATGGTATGAATGTATTTTAAGGCTTTTGATAAGAAATACCCTTCAGAAAGGTCTTAAGCATTTACACTCCTACAAGTAGTAATGAGAGTACCTATCTCCAGGCAACCTCTCCCACACCAGAAACTAATTACCTTAATTAAAAACCCCTGACCATTTGACAATCAAAAGATGCTGAGTGTTAGTTTAATTTGCATCTTTATTAATGAGGTGTATATTCTTTCACATGCTTATTAGATTTATGTTTTAGAAGTGCTGGATCACAGAAGAAGAAAGATGATCAGAGGGAACTTTAGGTGATGACTCAATGTATCTGGCTATGGCTTTCAAGAGAAAGACAGGGATGTATCTAGATTCAGCAAAATCTTGAGAAAGACAAAAATATGGTGTGAGAGATGAAGGTAGGGAATTGGGAAAAGGCAACGAAAATGCATGTCACTGCTGTAAGACTCAGAAAATGAGTATTTTAAAAAAGAATGTCTCTTTTGAAATGGGTATCCTGTGATAAAGTCAGGGACAGGTTGATTGAGGGAAAGTCAGGAAACTATTTCAGAGGAGGGTTTAAAACCACAACCAAACAGCCCTATCTTGTTATCATGGAGGAAGGTAGGAAGGTGGGGAGGAGAAAAGGAAGACTGCTTGGTGACAAATGCAGACTGTGTCCTACTTACTAGCATAGGAGATTTAAATTTCAAATTCGTGCTTTTTTAGCAAAACATATAATTTCAGAGTAGACTATAATGTTGCTCAGTAACTACTGACTGAGGGAAGCTGTGAACTGATGCCTAATTGCTTTGTTAGTACTCTTTTAGTACCAACTGCATTAAGTCCTTTCACCCCTCAAAGCTTAGAGGGCAGGATGTAAATTCCTATTTGAGGTTACTGTATCACAACTGAGTATAAATGCAAATGGCTTAGGCTTCACATAAATATCCCTAATAAAGGCCCCAAAAGATCTGTGTGGAAACTGTCCAAATTGTAGTTTGAGTTGCAGGTACTTATGAAGATGGCTCATTTGGGCCTGGTATGAATTGAGGGTGGGTTCTAAAATTCTTAGAGGAGGGCTAGACTTACCAAGCCACAGTGGCTGGCCTTGGGAATTAAAGAGTAGTCTTTCACTTTCTTGCTGGCAGGCAGGCGCTGTATAAACATCACTGCTGATTATTCGCTGTAGGTGGCTGTCCTGCCAATGTAATTCACGGCCCTCAATGGCTCTAGTGAATACTGTTCGTCTTGGTCTGGATAAGGAGTCTGGAGAAAGAAGAACATGCAGCAGCAGTACAGCAGCAGGCAATTTGAAGTTTTAAGCCCTGGGTCAAGTTCTTCAGTGTGGGAGGTTGGCTGAATAGTATTTTAAAAGAATAATTCTGGCAGCAGTGTTGAGAATAGATTATAAGGTGGAAGGGTAAAGACAGCAGCCACTTGCAATCTCTCTGAGTATCTACTGGGTTGCCTGCTTCCTAGATAAGCTTTTAGTGTGTGTGCTCTCTATAGAAATAACCTTCCCACAGAGATCTATGGCTGCCTTCCTCCTTCTACAGAAGACTAATTTCTCCTAAGACCGAGAAGCAAAATGAAATAGAAGAGGAGTAGTGGTGCTTAGCCGCTCAATCATGAAGATAGAAACTGGTTCTACAGAGGTCAAAGGTAGAGAGAAGAAGCCAGGTAATTTCCTTGGCCAATCTATAACTTGTTTCATGACTCTTATCAGACCAAGGACTTTCATGAAATTCATATTAAGAGTTGAAATACAGCTGAAGTTTTAATGACGCCTGCCTATAATCCCAGAACTTTGGGAGGCTAAGGTAGGAGGATCACTTGAGGCCAGGAGTTCAAGACTAGCCTGGGTAACATAGCAAGACACTGTCTCTACAAGAAATCAAAAAATTTAAAAATTAGCCAGGCATGGTAGCATATGCCTGTGCTTCTAGATACTTGGGAGGCTGAGGCAGGAGGATCCCTTCAGCTCAGGAGGTAGAGGTTGCAGTGAGCCAAGACTCCAGCCTGGGTGACAGAGCAAGATGCCACTCAAAAAATAAACATAAAAAAGAAAGAGCTGAAGTTCTGTATATTCAGATACTTTATTACACTGATATCTGCAGGCTTACAGTCTTGTTCCCCAGTAAGAAAAACTGATGAAGCCATGTGTGGTGGCTCACACCTATAATCCCAGGACTTTGGGAGGCTGAGGCTGGTGGATTGCTTGAGTCCAAGAGTTCGAGACCAGCCTGGGAAATGTGGTGAAACTCCGTCTCTACAAAAAATATAAAAATTAGCTGGGCATGATGACATGGGCCTGTAGTCCCAGCTATTCAGAAAGGCTGAGGCAGGAGAATCACTTGAGCCCAGGAGGCTGAGGTCACAGTGAGCCGAGATTGTGCCACTGCTCTCCAGCCTGGGTAACAAAATGAGATCGTGCCTTAGAAAAAAGAAAAAGAAAAAACTGATGCTAATAAAGACAAACTTGTTTTCTCACTGGAGTCTTACCATGCCATCTCTCTTCAGGAAAACGGCTGCAGGGAAACAAAAACTGCAAACAAAAAAGTAGGCTCAACTCTTAAGAGTGGTGTGTAGGAGGACCAAATGGAAGATATCTTGCCATAAACCATAGACTTAGGGAGGATTATGCAAACGATATTTAAAGTAATAAGAAACCATGAGGGAATCATTTAACTGATGCTTTGCCAGATTAATGGCAATATAAACTAGTTTGGGATCAAGAACTGAAGTATTTTATTATATGCACATTTCCAGAGATGCCCAAATGAGGTGTGTACCTACTGATTCTGTACAAAAAAATTGTGAGGAAATGTCAGAGAATTCATACTGAATATGAAAGAACCTAACATATTCAACCATTCAGGAAAAGTCCTTGCAATCTGGTCATCTCTTTAGAATTTAATATATCCCAGTGGGTATAGGCTCAGGTGACTGAAGGATATTATTATCAGAGTAGCACTGACAGTATTTACTGAAATTGCTTCTCCTTCATGTTGTCCCTCAGTGGAAGCACACTGACTCTTCTACTGGCTGTAATCTAAGCTCCTCTTCTGCTGAACTGAGAACCCACCGTGGGTCCGCTCAACCCACAGTGGGCACTGGGCTCCTAATATGTTTTTAAATTCATTAAATCAGCAAATAATTACTGCCTACTATACAGTAGCTACTGTTCTTAGCGCTGTTGGACGGAATAAGCAAGCAGGAAGATCATAGGAGATGAGGTCAGAGACATAGTAGAGAACCAGATCATGGAGGGCCATGTAGGCCATGAGAGAAAGATGGCTTTGTGTTTTTGAGAAAGATGGGAGGCCACTAAGAGCTTTGAGCTGTGAAGGTATACAATGGGACTTGCATACAAAAAGGTTAACTCTGGCAGCAATATTGAGACTAGATTATAAGGAAGAAGGGCAGAAGAAGGGGGAGCAGTCAGGTGGTCACTACAATAATCTGTGAGACATGATGGTAGCTGATCAGAGAAAGAAGGAGTGGAGATGATGAGCAGTAGTTGGATTCTGGATATCCAAAGATAAAGGCAATATACTGAATTTGCTCATGGATTAGAGCTGGGGTGAGAGACAGTAAAATCAAGAATGACTCCAAGGTTTTTTTTTTTTTTTTTTTTTTTTTTTTTGAGAGGGAGTCTTGCTCTGTCACAAGGCTAGAGTGCAGTGGCACAATCTCGGCTCACTGCAACCTCCGCCTCCTGGGTTCAAGCGATTCTCCTGCCTCAGCCTCCCGAGTAGCTGGGACCACAGGCACGTGCCTCCACACCTGGATAACTTTTTTTTGTATTTTTAGTAGAGACAGGGTTTCACCGTGTTGGTCAGGATGGTCTTGATCTCTTGACCTTGTGATCTGCCTGCCTCAGCCTCCCAAAGTGCTGGGATTACAGGCATAAATCACCGTGCCCAGCTGACTCCAAGGTTTTTAAGAGTTGCCATATATGGAGATAGGAAGACTGTAAGAGGAGCAGGTTTGGGTGGGGCTTGAGGGGTAAGAAATTCTGAGATGCCTGTTAACAGATAAATGGAAATAACAAAAAGGCAGTTGAATATACATGTCTGAAGTTGAAAGGAAAGGTCTGGGCAATATATATTTGGGAGATGTATATATTTGGGAGTTGTCAGTATATAGATGATTACTAAAATGATGCAATCAACAAAGAAGTATAGAGAGGTGGTCTGATGACAGATCCCTGGGCACTATGGCATTTTAGGTTGGGAAGGGGGGAAGAGACAGTAGAGAGACTTAGAAGGAAGGGTCAATGAAATAAGGAGACCCGAGAGAGTGGTTTCTTGGAAAAATCAAATGACAAGTTTCAAAAAGAGAGTGACTAATGTGTCAAATATTGCTGATAGGTCAAGTAAGGTTATGACTGAGAACAACTACTAGATTTAGCAACAGTTAGCATTAGTAAACAGTACAAGAGTCATTTCAATAGTGGTAGGGATTGAAAGCCTGTCTTGGAGTGAATTTAAGGGAGACTAAGAACAGAAGAAATGAAGATGGCAAATCTGTACTATTCTTTTTACTGTTTTTGCCTAATTCTGCCACCCATTTCTGCTACCCAGAGAGGCAAGTGGAGTCACAAGAGTGTTTTTTGTTTTGTTTTCGTATGGGAAATATAACAATATGTTTGTACACTTGGGAATAATTCATGGAGAGTAAAAAATTGTTGATGAAAGAGAGAGAGGAAATAATTTCTCGTTAATTCCTGGAGTGATGTCCTAGATAAAAGTGATGTAATAGGATCTTGAGAATAACTGGAAGGTTTGGATTTAGAAGCATAGACTGCAACAGGGGAAGAGGCAGAGTAGATGGGCAAAGACAGTAATTCTTTGACCTACTAGGACAGTATTTCTTTAGACCCATTACCACAGATGTGGTGATGGAGTTTTGGAAATTTTCTTCCGATTGGTTCTATATTTTTAGTAAACAGGAAGCAAGACTCAGCTGAAACTGAGGAAGGAGAGAAAGTACAGGAAATTTTGGGAAAAAGATGGTGTGAAACAGTAATTTACAAGAGTGAAAGATGGCACAGACTAGGGAAATGTAGTGGATGTCCAGAAAATACTGAGGACCCACTTGAAATGAGTGGTCATAAACTTAAAATAAGACCAGTTATTATGACTATTTCTTTCTTTCTTTCCTTTTTGTGACAGGGTCTCATTTCGTTGCCAGGCTGGAGTGCACTGGCACGACCATAGCTCACTGAAGCCTTGACCTCCTGGGCTCAAGCAATCCTCTCATCTTAGTCCCCCAAGTAGCTGGGACTACAGGCATGTGCCATCACACCTGGCTAATTTTTGTATTTTTTTGTAGAGACAGGGTTTCATCATGTTGCCCAGGCTGGTCTCGATCTCCTGAGTTCAAGTGGTGCTCCAACCTTGGTCTCCCAAAGTACTGGAATTACAGGCAGGAACCACTGTGCCTGGCTATGGTTGTTTCTCTCCAGCCATATTCAGCTGTGCAAGTGTATCGACTAATTAGAGTTGGAATGAACTAAGTTTAGAGTTCTTCAATCAGTGTATCAAAAGCAAAGAGGGAGTTGAGTGTGTATGCAAAGGAGTGACTGTAATGAGGTACCAAGAAATCTAACATGGATGAGGAAGAAAATGAGGCTATCAAAAGAGTGAAAATACATTTTGTCTTACACAGTAAGACAAAAATTCCTAGAGAGTCAAAGAATTACTGAAATTGGGATACTAAAGAAAATAAGCTAGCAAGATTGACTGTGGTAACTGGTGATGCTTGAAATTGAGATTATGAAGAGGGTGCAGTTTTTGTAATGTCAAGGTTTAGGGTATGATTTTGGGGTTGAATGGCTAAGTTATGGGGGAGGATGAGACTACTGGAAAAGCGGAAATCAAAGAACTGAGAGGCCAGGGTATTGGAAGGGTCATCTATGTGGCTACCAAAGTCATCAACAATTATGACAATAATCAGCGTGGTGGTTCATGCCTATAATCCGCATGGTGGTTCATGCCTATAATCCCAGCACTTTGGGAGGCCAAGGCAGGATGAATGCTTGAGCTCAGGAGTTTGCAACTAGTCTGGGCAACATGATGAAACCATGTCTTTACAACACACACACACACACACACACACACACACACACACACACACACACACAGAGAGAGAGACACACACACAATTTAGCTGTGAGTGGTGGCTCATGCCTGTAGTCCCAGCTATTCAGGAGGCTGAGATAGGAGGATCACTCAAGCCTGGGAGATGGAGGTTGCAGTGAGACAAGATTACACCACTTCACTCTGGCCTGGGTGACAGAGGGAGACCCAGTCTCAAAAAAACAAATTAAAAAAAAAAGAATTATGATAGGAATAGTGACAGTAGTATTAGTAAGCCAATAGCTAAAAATCTTCAAGGAATGAGAGGGATTGACCCAGAGGTCTACAGATGCCAAAAACCAGAAGGGTAGCAGACAGTATAGTTTGGCATAAACTTAAACCTGGAAGTATTTTAAGAAGGTAAGAAGGAGAATTATGTAGAAATGACTATGAAAAATAGGCAGGAATCAGCTGCTTCTCCAGCCCCAAAGGTCAAAGGATGTGAGAGAGATATCAATCACAATCTGAGAAGGCTTTAGAAGAGGGAACATCTCTAAAGGAGAACTAACAACAACAAAGAGCCAATATATTATGACAAGGAAGAAACTGCCAGACCAGACTGGGCATGGTGGCTTATGCCTGTAATCCTAGCACTTTGGGAGGCCAAGATGGGCAGATCACTTGAGGAGTTTGAGACCAGCCTGGCCAATATGGTAAAACCCTGTACCTACTAAAAATATAAAAATTAGCTGGCATGGTGGCCCACACCTGTAGTCCCAGCTACTCAGGAGGCTGAGGCAGGAGAATCAGCTGAACCTGAGAGGTGGAGATTGTAGTCAGCCAAGGTTGCACCACTGCACTCCAGCCTGGGCAACAGAACAAGGCATGTGTTTGTAGTCCTATGACCCTCTCTATGCCATCCAAAGCCAATATCAAAGAGATGGCTTCTTGTGTTGTGGAAGCTAGATGAGTGCCAAGAGAGGCTAAAGAAGTGGCAAAATTGTGCCTTTTAATTTTTCATTACCTTTGTTGTCTTAAATATACTGGCAACTAATTATAGTACAGAAGAAGACCAAGCAAAAACAATAATTTTTGTGATTTCCTCCTTGAGACTGAAAATACCAATAATCATTTAAAATAAAAGGAACCGCTGGGTGCAGTGGCTCATGCCTGTAATTGCAGCACTTTGGGAGGCTGAGGTGGGCAGATCAAGGTCAGGAGTTTGAGACCAGCCTGGCCAACATGGTGAAACCCCATCTCTATTAAAAATACAAAAATTACCTGGGCATGGTGGCTCTCACACCTGCAATCCCCACCACTCAGGCGGCTGAGGCATGAGAATTGCTTGAACCCCAGAGGCATGGGTTGCAGTGAGCCAAGATTGAGCCACTGCATTCCAGCCTGGGAAATAGAGTGAGACCCTGTCTCCAAGTAAAATAAAATAAAATAAAATAAAAGGAACCAATTTTATAATCAGTATCTGATAAAATCTCCTACCAATAAAGGCTCTCAATGGGCTAAACAATAATCAATTGCCAACATCAAATAGACTGAATTAGCTGAAGTAAAACTGATGTGAAAGCTGATGTCAAGCAATGTCTGTAGGCCAGTGGGCACAGTATCACTGTACTGGACTTGTCTTAAAATGGGGCAGGAATCCTACCAATAATCTGGGAGGATGATCCTACCCGGCTATTTGCTGTATAAGAATTTGAGGAAAATAGAACTAAGAAAAGCTATGGTCAGGACACTTTTTTAAACTGCTTTTTATAGGTCTTTTGTTCCTCCCCTAAGTCAGGTCTGAACTAAAACCAACCCCAACTGAAGCCAAGATATTTAATACATTAGACATGAAGAACCTGAAGAGTAGACCAGGACTTTATGCTGGGCACTGTAAGGACAGTCTAGATGTGGAAAAGCATAGCAACTCAGTGTCAAAGACAAAAGCTTATCCTTATTTAAGGTTTGGCATTTCAAGATGAATACAAACATAGGCTTTTCTTATTTAGAATGGCAATTCTGACAGCCAAAAGGCTATCCAGCTACCAATGTTCTATGCTTTAGCCTCCCACCTTTTGAGTTCCAGGTACGAAAAGCCTAAAAGGACACTTGGCTCACCTGGGCTGTGAATGGCATGCTGGGGAAGTGCATTGGTGATGTTTGGCAGCTCATGTCCATAGTTTCCATCCTCTAGGGGACAGACATCCAGGTCGCTCCACTTCTGCAGCTGCTGCAGCCAGCAAGATTTCTCCTCCAGTTTGCAGTGTGGATTTAAAATTATGCACACCCATAAAGCCCCTGGAAAATGAAGCAACCCATATTCTTAACATCTCTCCTTTGATGTGTGTATAAGCCTTAATGTTTCAGTTTCATTTTTAGTTGATAAAGTTTCCAAAGCATTAACTTTTCTTTTTCTTTTTCTTTTTTTTAATAAAACTGTGCCATTTTTATTACAATTCACTAAATCTCAGTAACAGATAACTTCAACAAGAAAACATTAACTAGTATGTGTAAAGCTAGTTATTTAAGGTTTTGGTAACTGAGATTAGACAAAGTCTTCACAATTACGTTTACAGTAGCCATTGGCTAAAAAGAATAACATATTAAAATAAGTGGACATGATAGCCAACTAGCTATGGCCACCACAATATAGTTACAATTATTTTGCAGAATTATTTATTTAACTTTTCTTAATATAAAAAATTGGCTAAGATTTTCAGAACTGGCTTGTTTTTCCTTACCAAAGTTTCCTGAAAGCAGAGTGACTATCTTGTTATTTGAATGCATGCCTGTGATATAAAGACAGATTTAGGCTTGAACTCTGAGCTCAAATCTACAGTGTAATAAATATTTATTACAAGCCTACTATGTTAAGGCTCTGTGCTGGCGATTAAAACAGATACTGTTCCTACCCTTGAGAACTGTCTAGTGAGGGAGACAGATAAATAAACATAATTCCATTTGAATATGATAAGTATTAAGATAAAGATAGGTTCAGGGCATGAAAGCAGCATACAGGAAGGGCATTTAATACAAGAACAGGGTTGGAAGTGAGGAAGTCAGAAAAGGTTTTATTTTTTTGGTTAGCTGGACTTCCTGAGTTTCATCAAATCCTTCAACTGTAAAACTGAGATCATAAAAATACCTACTTTGTAGGGATATTGTGAGAATTAAATGAGATAATCTTTGTAAAGGCTCTAGCATATTACCTAGCACATAGTAGGATATTAGTATTTGCTTATCCAAGAAAAATAATTTATTTGGACTTGGATTTTGAAACTGCTGCTAACTTGTAATGCCTTAAAACAATTACTTTCTTGGGATTTTTTTTTTTTTTTTTTGACATGGAGTCTTGCTCTGTTGCCCAGGCTAGAGTGCAGTGGTGCAATCTCAGCTCACTGCAACCTCCACCTTCCGGGTTCAAGTGATTCTCCTGCCTCAGCCTCCTGAGTAGCTGGGACTACCGGTGCGTGCTACCATGTCAGGCTAATTTTTTTGTATTTTTAGTAGAAACAGGGTTTCACTGTGTTAGCCAGGATGGTCTTGATCTCATGATCTGCCCGCCTCAGCCTCCCAAAGTGCTGGGATTATAGGCATGACCCACCACACCTGGCCAGGATTTTTTGTTACTGTAGCATAGTATCACATATTCCACATAACCAGTAATGGGTACTATTTCTTTGTCCATATCATCCCCCTTTTAAAGCAAATTAGTGTCTTCTTTTCAAGATTGTTTATGTGGCTGAGCCAGATAATTTCTCAATCTCAAATTAGCAATAACCCTGGCTGTGGTGTGTCTTAATATCCTTTAGGATGTAGCTACATCCATGAATACAGATATACTTGGACACTATTTCAAAGCCTCTCAAAGCCAAATAGGAATGTTTTAAAAGCCATCTTAGCCTCAACTTCAGATATTAATTGGAGATGAAAATTACTTTCTGCCTGGGTGCTGTGGCTCACACTTGTAATTCCAGCACTTTGGGAGGCCAAGGTGGGCACACTGCTTGAGCTCAGGAGTTTGAGACTAGGCTGAGAAACATGGTAAAACCCTGTCTCTCCCCAAAATACAAAAAATTAGCTGGGCATGGTAGTGCGTACCCAGCTGGTCCCACCTACTCAGGAGGCTTGAGGTGGGAGGATTGTTTGAGCCTGGGAGGTTGAAGTTACAGTGAGCCAAGATCACACCACTGTACTCCAGCCTGGGTGACTGAGTGATAACTCTTTTCAAAAA